CCAATCTTAAGTTTTTAAGGGCCATTGTAACAACATGGGCTAAATAAACACTGAGCAAAAAATGGGGCAAGACGGAGAAAAGCTCAGGTTGGAGGCCTTCTCCCTTAGTTCCCACAAAGCACTTTAATTTCTAACTTTCTAATGCACATCTCATAACATACCCGGAGTGTCACAGAAATGTGGTATGTAATGTATGAGCTCAATAAATGTTTACTGACTTTGAATGAGCATGCTCAGGTCAGGGACGTCTTACCTAAATACTGTATCTTCCCCAGTGTCTAGCACAGAGTAAGTGCCTCATAAATGTTTATTATATTTGCATTCTGAAATTCCTGTTCACGAACAATTACTATACACGCTGCTCCCAGTACCCATCTGTCAGGGCTGAAAATGCTTCAAGGTGGCAAAAAAATTCACGGAGAAGTAGGAAGTCAGTGTGGGAATCAATTCAACATTTATTGAGCACCTACTAAACACAGAACATTGTTCGATTCAAATTCAACATCTACTGAATGCCTACTATTGTACAAAAACATTGAGCTAAATACTGGAGATATACACATTAAAATAAAAGTATCCTAGCTCTCAAGATGCTTATATTTTTGGGAGGGGTAGGGAATAAAAGATGGAGGGATAGAGAATATATCCCACGAAAAACAGATAATTAAACGCAAGGCAATTTGACAAAAGAGAGAGTACTGACAACTGAGGGTCTAGTTAGGGAGTGATCATGAAAACTTAGGACTAAGCCAGATCCTTGAAGGAAGAAAAGAGGTGAAAATGAGGAGGCAGAGCACGTAGCTGTTGGGGCAGGGTGAAGGGAATTTGTGCGAGTTTGTGAAAAAAGGAAATGTAATGTCAAGTTTGGGTAATAGCTGAAAAAAAAAACCACCATGGTGCTAGGAAAGACTGCTGGATTTGTGGTCAGAGGGCTTGGGCTGAAATAGCAGTTCTGCTACTTGGGCAACTTTGGGGAAACCACTTCATTACTCTGGGTCTTACTTTCCTCACATGTTACCTGTAGGGGGTTGGATTAGATAAATTCTACTATCCCTTCCAACTCCTAAATAGGTGATTCTATAACAGCCAGTTGGCTGGAAAACAAAGAGGGTAGAGAGGAGTAATAAGAAATAATCATAGAAAGGTAGGCTGAAACAGGCTGTGGAGAGCCTTAAAATAAGCTGGTGGAACAGCTAGGTGGCACAGTGGAAAGAGCTCTGGCCTTGGAGTCAGGAGGATCTGAGTTCAAATCTGACCTCAGACACTTGACACTTGACACTTACAAGCTGTGTGACCCCAAGTCACTTAACCCCAATTGCCTCACCAAAAAAAGCCAAAAAGAAAAAAAAATAAGCTGAAGAGTTTGCATTTTATTCGTACAGGCAATAGGGATTCACTAGAGGCCTTTGAGCAGGGGTGTAGAAACCTTCTGGCTTTGCCTTAGGAAAATTACAATTATAAGGGAAGATAAATTGGAGGGAGGTAGCAAGGAGAATTATTAGGCATCTCTTGCAACAGTTGGGGGAGATGAGGACTGGCTTAAAGTAGCATCACAGTTGCCCTCCGGGTAGTTATGAAGGGTATTAGCTCCCATAATACATATTCAGATTCAGTTAATTTCCCTCCCATTCCCTCTCTCCCTACATCTCCCTCTCCATTCCCCACCCACCCCCCACCCCCAAGTTCAAAGCAGCAGAGCCTCAGGGCTCTAAGGCATGTGGACAAATTCTACTCTCCATTACTTACTGAAAAGAATGAGAATCAGCCATCCATATCTAAGTTGGATGCCAAAGACAAGTTTCAAAGAATAGAGAGATTGTCCTCAATAAGATGTCTGCAAAGAACTCAAAACTTGGGTAGCAGTACAAAGTTCTCTGTTTAATAAGACAGCATCTACTGTTCCTAGGACATCCTCAGGTGAAGAGTCACAGATATACTTTAGGGTACAGTGAAAAGAGCCCTGGATTTGGAATTAGAAGACCTGGTTTCAAGGCCTTAGTGTGTCACCTGTGGGACCCTAGACAACTCACTTAACCTTCCTCAATTGTAAAATTAGGGGGTTGGATTAGATATCCTCAAAGTTTCCATCCACCTCTAGATCGATTAAGCTATAACATACAGGACATTAAAACTGATCTTAGGGAATTCCCAGTCATGAGGCCTAGAGAGACTTGCCACAGAAAGTTAGTCATACAGCATTATTTATTTGCCTCCAATGAGTCATTGTTAAGGAGAGTGAAGCCCCTTATTGTATTTTGGTCACACCTTTTAAACAGATTCAAAGAAACCGAAGCAGGTTCTAAAGAGAGCAACGATTATTATAATAATGACAAATAGGGATTACAGAGACAGGTTAAAGAACTGGGGCCATTTAAACTTGGACAAGAGGACAGTGATGTAATTATTGTCTTTAAGGGAATGAAGAATAGCTCTTATAACGGTGAGATATATATACATATATATATCAATATATATAAAGTAAATAAAACAATGATCAACTTTCTCCAGGTTCATAAAAGGACTGAATGTAAGGAAATGGATTTAATGAAAAACAGGACAAGACTAGTTGGATATTAGGAAGAATCTGACTGATGGGGTTAAAACATTGGAAAAAACTACAGTAAGAGGCATATCTGTCCATAAACTCTTCAAAAAGAGATGACTGTCTTAAACAGATTAAACATTTCATGTAAAATTGGTGAGAAGGAAATTGGAGACCATCTAATCCCCTCACTTTGTAAGTTAGGAAATTATGATCCAGTAGAGTGCTAGATTTGGCATTAGAGAACTTACATTCAAATCCTGGCTTTCCTATTCATCACTGATATAATATTGAAATGTTTTGGTACCTCAGTTTCCTTCTCTGTATGTAAACTGCAAATACTGTACTAAATGGATTCCAAGGTCCCTTCCAGCTCTAAATGTATGATACTAGGCAACTGAGACCCATAGAGATTAAGTGAGTTGCACAAGGTGACACAGTGACAGTTGTTGGCAGAGCCAGGACTAGAGCCTAGTTCTCTTAATTACTAGCCCAGTGTGCCATTGAGATAGAAGAGGTCAATCTTGAAGTCAGGGAAACCTGGATTCAAGTCCTACCTTGGCCAAATGCCTCGCATTTGCTGACTCTCAGCAAATAATTTAATCTCTCAGTGTCCTAAGCAACCCTCCAGTTACAGAGGAGTTGCCAAATTCAAGGAGGAAGTTGCTATACTGGAAGTGCCCTACACACCTATGAAATCATATTTAGCAAAGACAGGATTGACCAATAACAACAAAAAGTTAAAGGATGGTTCTATCTGGTTTATTGGGAGTAAAGATTCAAAGAGGATTGTCTCTGGCCTTCCAAACTACAAAGAGAAGACAAAAACTACTTATTTCCCGTTCTGTCTCTTCCTACCACCAAGGAGACACTTGGTTTAGGAAATTAAAAACAAATGGAAGCAATCCTTGCCAGAAAGCAGAAGTGATCTTTTTTAAATGCCTGGAAGGAGACAATGCTGATGACACCTCAATGATGAGACTTGTACTTTGAGTTGCTGTGTTAGTTTGACTCAGCAGAATGGAGCGTCCTGACACATCTTGACCAGAATTACCATCATTAATCTTTGCCTGATCGCAGGTGGAGTTGGGGGCCAACCAGTACTGCCCAGAAGAGAGTTCCCTGCCCAGAATACAGCATAGAGCCAGACTGGTGAGAAGGGACCTTTCTATGGAGGGTAGGAGGACTAACATCTCAGATGGAGAACAAGGAGAACATTTAGGGCGAGGAGTGTAGAACAGCCAGGAAAGGAACAGAAAAGTCATTGGTCTTCCTGCTTCACTTATTCTAACTAGCCTAGTTCTCTAGAGACAGAAAGTCATTATACCATGGTGCTGCTTTTGATACTATTCTGGATTTCAACCACTGTGAACTCAAACAGTACAGCCCAAACTTGTCACAGAAAAAAAAAATATGAAATACAGAGCTGTTGGGCTCATTTTACCAATGCCAGAGAAATCAACCCTAAACAGACCAAGAACACAGAAAGCTAGAGAGCCTGAGAGCAGGGGAAGAGCATCAATAAAAACTTGGAAGACAATCCAAAAACTCCAAAGATGACAAGCTTAGGCAGGGAAGAAGGAATTCTAATGTACTTTTCGCAGCCCCACCTACCCCCAAACCCAGCCAACATCCATCAAAGTGGGGGGCAAGGAGTCCTTCACCAGCAAATTCATAGAATCACAGAAGCTCGAGCAGGAAGGGACCTCAGAGGTCGTGATAAGATCACCTGGCCAAACCCCTCTAGACAAGAGGAGTCTTCTTTACAATAATCCCCAACAAATGGTCATAGCATTTCTGCGTGAAGACATGCAAAATTCACCGTTTTAAGAGGTTTTCATTCTGGTTTTGGACAGCTCTAAGTGTTTTCCCCTATATTGACCTGAATTCTGCCTCCCCGAAACTTCCAAACTCTCAGAGGGTAGGGCAGCCAGAAGAGAGAGGTCCCTCCAGATCAAAAGAAGATGGAAAGGGATAAAAAGACATCTCTTGTCCCAACGGTCTCCTATGAGGGAGGGGTGACAAGGAATGGGCTTGAGAAGCCACTTTGAGAGGTCAGAGAAATGATGATCTTCAGGTTGGACACTGGAAACAGATGGGATTACTCCGACTCCTACTCTGCCCAGGTAAGGTGAGACCGTAAGAAACAGGTCAGGATTTGGACCTGGAAGACCGAGGTTCTAATGGGTGTCAGCCACTTAAAAGGATTCTGTGCCTCATTAGGAAGTCACTCCCTTTTTTCTGGGCCTCAGTTTCTTTTTTTATAAAATGGACCTGGTGGAGGGAGGATCTCTTCTAACCGGCCCCGACATTTCCATCTAAAGCCTGCGTGCTCCTACGAGGCTCTGCCCCCTACCCCCTAAACCTCAGCCCACGAACACGCACTGGGGGGCAGGGCAGCGACGGCAGCGTTCTGCGCGGGCTGGCGCCCCCTCCCCGGGGCCCGTCTCCCCCTCACCCGCTGCAGCTCCATCTCGATCTCGCCGGCTTTGAGCAGGATGGGCCCCCGCACCGCGTACTCCACCGCCTTCACCAGCGGGTTCATAGACTCGGGCGTCAGGATCCGCTGGCGCCCGTTCTTCTCCGGCCGCAGCTTCAGCACCGCCGAGGCCTCGGCCGCCGCGCTGCTCCAGCTCCGGCCCCGGCCCCGGCCCCAGCCCGGGGAGCGCGGGCAGCGGCCGGCGCGCAGCCCCAGCACCAAGCCCGCCGCCCGCTGCATGACTCCGGCGCTCGTCTGCCCGCTAGCCCGGGACCCTGGCAAAAACAAACGCGCGATCAGCAAACCGCCCGCCCGCCCCCGGGCGCCGCCCCCCTGCAGCCTCCTCCCCCGCCCCCGAGGCCGAGCGGAGAGGTTATTTCATCAGCAGGGGAGCCGGGTCATTTGCGAGCCCTGACCCGAGGCACTCCGTGCGCTCGATCCGCACCAGCTGAGCCCAGGTACCCGGGACTGGCAAAGGAGGCGGCGCAGGACGCCACATGCCTGTCGACTCCTTCTCCTCCCCGCGCCTAATGCCGCCGCGCTCTCCTCGAGTTGGCCCAGGATACAGGCGGCAACGGCGGCGGCGGTGGCGGCGACAGCAGCAGCATCACCCGCGTCGAGCTCCCGGCTCGGGTTCGCGGATCCCGCAGTCGCCAGCCACTCACAAGACCGGCCTCTTAGCCTCCCACACCCACCCGGAGAAGAAGCCAGGGAGCCGGCTCTAAAACGCCGCGCCACTTACTGGGACTTGTAGTTCCCGGAGCGGGCTTTGCAGCGCAGGTGCGAAATCGGGGAAACTACAATTCCCACTATGCACTGCGCCGAACCGGTGGAGGTGGAGGTGGAGGTGGGGGGCAAGGGAAGGAGCCAGGCTGGCGCTCGCAAGCTAGAGGCAAGTTCTTGGTGGGGCGGTAAGAAGGAAAAAGGGAAGAACGGCATCTGGGGAGCTGGAGGCGCGTGCAGCAGTAAGAATGTGCCCTTGCTCCCCTTCCCCCTCCTCTATCAACCTACAAAGTGCCGCTATTTGTATATTCTGCTCCGCCTCCATTCTCCGCCTTACCAACACACCTGCTAGGATGCTCAGTTGGCTGGGCGGAAGCGCAGAATCTGTTGCAGTCTCCGCGTTGATTTCATCATCCTCTTCTACGCCAGTGAGGACGGCGCTTAGCCGCCTAAATCCCGATGTTCCCCAGTGTCTGGAGGTTGGCTGTCTCTGGGCCTTGGCAGAGAGGGCAACACAATAAACGTTTACTGCCTTAGTATATACAGAATACTGCACCTGGTACTCAGGTATGCACAAACTAAAAATTAGGAAATCCCTATTTTCTTTTAAAATTTTTTTAAAATTTTTATTTTTTTTAGGCAATTGGAGTTAAGTGACTTGCCCAGGGCAACACAGCTAATAAGTGTCAAGTGTTTGCTCTGAGGTCGAATTTGAACACAGGTCCTCTTGACTTAAGGGCCGGTGCTCTATCCACTGCGCCACCTAGCTGCCCCGGAAATCCCTATTTTCTATGAGTGTATAGCCTCGCAACAATGATCCACACAACCCTGACTGACTGTGCTGTAAAAAGTCCCAGACTGAGTCAGAAGATCAGAGTTCAAATGTCACAACCTTGACTTACATGGTTCACCTTGGACAAGTTACCTAACGTGTCTGAGTGTGTTTCCTTACTAATATTTGCTGGTTAGAAAGAACCTTAGAAGTCACCAACTTGCTCATATGCGAAATTCAGGCTCCAGAGAAGTTACCCACAACGTAACACAACTCACACAAATAGTAGTAGAAGAGCTGGTATTAGAATCTGTAACTTCAGACTCCAAATTCAGTGCTGTTGCCCCTATACCATCTTCACAATAATTGCTGATGTTTCTATAGACCTTAGTTTTCAAAACACTTTACATAGCCATCTATGCCTTACAATACTTCCAGGGAGGTCTCAGTGAGGATGATGCGGTCCAGGGGTACTGGTACCCCAATATCACAACATGTGGGGACCCGAAAGAATTCAACCCAAGCCTTCTTTCAGCCAAAGACAAGGTTTATTAGAACATCCTTCATATTGGGCAGACTCTTAAGCAGTCTGAACTTTAGTAAGCTATTGGCTAGATTATAGACTATAAGAATCTGAGCATCTTAATGGAGACAAGATGGACCTTATATACAGAAAGACTGTGGAAAGGATCTAGGAGTGGCCAAATAGTTTGGGGTGACTGGAGGAGGCGTCTAAGGAAGGAGTGGCCAGTAGGCTGGGATGGACTGAACGCCTGGGACCTGAACCTCAAGGCCAAGGGAGAATGGAGCCTAGCTAGGATCAAGGGTGGGAAATGGCTGGACGTACATAGGGAAGTAAAACAATGGAGAGCTAGGCTAGATTAAAGGTAACAGAATTGGGAGATAGGGTTTAGCCACAATGAAAGGCCAGAGCCTCAGGCAAACTCCAGAGATTTGGCCATGTGGGAAAGTCCAGGGTTTTTCCTTTTTTGGTGTCTAGCTCCCATCCTCATCACCCTCAACTAATGAAAATCAACAGCTTCTGTCTTATTTGCAGAGTTGCCTTGGGCACTGAGAAGTTAAATGACTTGACCAGAATCACAAAGTCAGAATGTGTGAGGATCAGGACTTGAACCCCGGTCTTCTTGAGCCCTAGGCTCACACTGCTTGACTAAGCAGCGTTGCCTTTCTTGGAGTGTTGTCCATAATACACATAATGGATATGTACATATAATGGATGCTTAAAAAATGTTGTTTGAATTAAATTGATATATCTGGCAGGACATCTTATTCCATCTGTTTGCATAAGTCCAAGAGACTTAATTACAGATCAGAAGGTTGCATGGAGAGTAAAGAATTAGAAAACTAGGAATTGGATGTTCTTTGGGGATGTTTTCATCAATACAGATGAGGGTGTCAGATTCTTCTTCCCTCTTAAGGCCACCCCAAGATCTGTATCTTCTCTAAATTTTGTTCCTCCCCTCACACCTGGTATAGTGCTTTGTGATGGGGTATGGGCCCAAGCCAAGACCTTTGCTCCTTACCCCAAAAAGAATTTGGGTCCTATTTGTCTAAGGGGTTCTCCTTGAATTCTCCCACTTGATCTAGGAGGTCTCTGGCGTTCCCCTGAGACTATGGTCCCATCAACTGGCCTTTTGTTACCTAGCCCAATCTTCCAATTCTGTTACCCTTAAGCTAGCCTAGCCCTCCATTGTCTTACCTCCCTATGGCCCCTGGCTACTTCCCACCCTGGACCCTATCTAGACCCCATTCCTGACCTCCCAGTCACTCCCATCAAGATCCTTCCTAGATCCCTCACACAGTCTTTCTGTATATAAGGTCCATCTTGTCTCCATTAAGGTGCTCAGATTCTTACAATCTAGCCACTGCTCAGATTCCTTAAGAACCTAGCCAATTACTCACAAATGTTCAGATTCCTTAAGAGTCTGGCCAGTATGGAGGATCCTTAATAAATGAAAGAAGGCTTGGGTCGAATTCTTTCAGGCAGGACCGTGTGTCATGATCTCGAGGTCCCAGCAACCCTAAACCTCTAGATCTCATCACTTCGCACATTGTAAACAGTTAGTAAACATTGACTGTACTTGACTTTCAATGCTAACTTTGTACCACAGCACCCTCAGGCATACAATAGAACACTCAGCAAGTAGAGACAGATCCCTCCCCCCCACAGTTCTAACTAGTTTCTCCTCAAATTATGCATATATTATGCATTACTATTATATATATCATACACGGGCAAGTTCTAAACCTGTGCTCTCTAAGAGAAATACCTCTCAAAAATGCTATTTTGATCAACTTAATTTATTGCTGATAAAGAAGATAAATGAGCTATAGAAAAGATTATAGTCATTGATCCAGAGCTAGAAAAAAACCTCAGAGAAAATCTAGTTCAACTCCTTTTTTATAGTTGAGGAAACTGAAGCACAGGGAGGCCAAATGGCTGGTTCCTCTATTTCCCAATAGTGGAAAACTGGGCTGAACCACCTAGGATGCTAAGAGAATTGGGCCCATTTTCCTAACCAGACAGTTTTCATTCTTCTTCCAGTAATTCTTTTCCCTATCTCTAACACAGGTCCTTCTTTCTGTACTGTTTCTTAGCTTTCCTCTCAGTGGTCATATATTCAACTTGCTTTAAGGAACTGAAATCTCATTGGAGTAGACAATCGCAGCCCAGAATCACAGAACCTCAGTGCCAGGAAGGATTTCGATTTGCATTTGGTCCAATTTATAGAAAGGTATGTCCCTTCTAGAGTTCAGTAAATTTGCAGTTCATAAAGGGCAAGGTGAAGAGAGAATGAACCTGCTTTATGTGAATAGGTAACTTCCTAATGGAAGTGAGGCTCTGTGTAGCTTGTTTGCATCTGAAAAGGATAGGAAAGCCTCTGAGCTTCAATTTAACAGTAGGCCAACAAGAGAGGTCAAAGGGAAAGGCTAAACCTCTCTCTCTTGTCAATTCCTGCTTAGGAGACCTCAAGTCTCAGAGCCAAGGCCCTGAGGGAATAGAACTAGAAAGACTTCTGCCAGTCCTAGGCCCTTTCAGAATGAGCATATCAATATCCTAATTGAGGATTACACCTAAACCTAAGGCTAGAGATGCTAGATGATGCCAGCCCACTGAGGAATGAACTCAGGGAGTGACCCTTTCTAGCAGAGATACCCTGCCCTGTGAGAAAAAAGCCCAGCTTAGTCCCTCTCCAGCACAGATGGCACAACCAACAGGGAATTTTGTGAGGACATCACAAAGAGAAAAGAGATATTGTGGCTCTGCAAATATTGGCCATATTTTTTGTGTGTCTCGTTACCAGTGAACTTTAAATTTGAGCCCACTCTTCAAACAGAAGCTGTGTGCATTATTGGGAAAGTATACCCTAGTATTATGAGGAAAATGTCTTTGTGTTTACTGCTTTTACCATTCCATCTTAGTAAATACCTTTGCTTCTGTTCAAACCCAAGGCAAATCATTCAGCATCACAGTAATGCATGTCTTTGCTCCAACCATTGATGCTGAAGAGGCCAAAGTCGATCAGTTCTATGAAGGCCTATGCCATCTTCTAGAAATCACACCAAAAAAAGATGTCACATTCATCATAGGGGATTGAAATGTTAAAGCAGGAAATCAAAACATCATTGGAATAACAGGCAAGTTTGACCTTGGAATACAAAATGAAGTAGAGCACAGACTGATAGAATTTTGCCAAGATATCTCACTGGTCATAACAAACACTCTTTTTCAGCAACC